AGGAAGTCTTGCCCTGGTTAGAGGAAGATTGGGTCGGAGAGCACCTAAGGAACCTCGATACCCACAAATCCATGGGCCCTGATGTGATGCACCCCAGAGTGCTGTGTGAGCTTGCAGATGTCATAGCTAAGAAAATATCCATCATCTTTGAAAGATCCTGGAGAACGGGGGAGGCGCCGGAGGACTGGAAGAAGGCCAATGTCACGCCAATCTTCCAAAAAGGCAAGAAGGAGGACCCAGGCAACTACAGGCCAGTCAGGCTCACCTCCATCTCTGGAAAAAATGATGGAGCAGCTCAATCTGTCTGTTATCCGCAAACTCGTGGGGAATAAGAAGGTACTCAAGAGTAGTCAGCATGGATTCACCAAGGGGCAATCATGCTCGACTAACGTGATAAACTTCTATGATGGAATGATGGCCTGGATAGATGAGAGTGGTGGATGTCATACATGGACTTTAGCAAGACTTTTGACACTGTCCCTCCTAACATCCTCCTGGGCAAGCTCTGGAAGTGTGGGGTAGATGAGTGCACAGTGAGGTGGATTGAGAACAGGCTGGATGGCATTGCTCAGAGGATTGTGATCAGCAGCTCAGAGTCTAGTTGGAGACCTGTAGTTAGTGGTGTTCCCCAGGGGTCAGTCCTTGGTCCAGTCTTACTCAATTTATTCATCAATGACCTGGATGAAGGCACAGAGTGCTCCCTCAGCAAGTTTGCCGATGATACAAAACTGGGAGGAATAGCTGATACCCCAGAGGGCTGTGCTGCCATCCAGAAGGACCTGGACAGACAGGACAGCTAGGCAGTGAGAAACCTCAAGAAGTTCAACAAGTGCAAGTAGAAGGTCCTGCACCTGGGGAAGAACAACCTCAAACATCAGTACAGGCTGGGGACTGACCTTCTGAAGAGCAGCTCTGCAGAGAAGGACCTGGGTGTCATGGTGGACGACAAGTTGACCATGAGGCAGCAGTGTAGCCTCGTAGCCAAGAAGGCCAATGGGATCCTGGGGTACATTAAGAGCCTCTCCAGGAGGTCAAGGGAGGAGATCCTGCCCCTCTACTCAGCCCTGGTGAGGCCACATCTGGAGTACTGTGTTCAGTTCTGGGCCCCACAGTACAAGAGGGATGTGGAGCTGCTGGAGAGAGTCCAGCACAGGACCACAAGGATGATCAGGGGCCTGGAACATCTGCCCTATGAGGAGAGGCTGAGGGAGCTGGGCCTGTTCAGCCTGGAGAAGAGAAGGCTGAGAGGGAATCTAATCAGTGCCTGTAAGTATCTCAAGGGAGGCAGTGAGGAGGATGGTGCTGGCCCCTTTTAACTGGTGGTCACCAACAGAACTAGAGGGAATGGCCAGAAACTGAAACACCAAAAGTTTCACAGGAAATTAAGGAAAATTTTTTAACACTGAGGGTGACAGAGCACTGGAACAGGCTGCCCAGAGAGGTTGTGGAGTCTCCTTCCCTGGATATCTTTAAAATCCACTTGGACGCAGTCCTGTGCCATGTGCTCTAGGTAACCCTATGTGTGCAGGGGTTGGACTAGATGACCTCTAAATGTCCCTTCCAACCTTAAGCATTCTATGATTCTCTGATTCTATAATTCTATGAATGGGACTTCTTGGTTGATAACCTGAGGATGGTCATTGCTATCGTCCTTGTACATATAATCTGTTTTAAGCAATGGACACATATGGGGGGCCACTTTCTACAGCTTCTTTGGCCCTCTGCAAATCTCCCTGGAGATAAATTTGCTGTATCCCTTCCTCTGCATGTGTCATTTCTACTTCTGACAGTGTATTTACTTCCCTCAAAAGTTGATTCCTCAACTCTTTCTTTAATATCATATTTTGGTTCCTTTCCTCCTCCAACAATTCTTTTTTCTCCTTTAACTGTTCCTGCAGAGTGTTTACTGCCACCTGCAGGGAATTTATTACAGTATCAGCTTGACAAAACTGCTGCTTTCTTCTTTCCATTACAGCTGCCAGACTTGTTGCCAGCACTGCCCAAATTACAGCTTTTCCCTTCCCCCTCTTGACCTTAACTTCATTCCATAATACTCTTATCCTATCTACCACACTCTTTGGTTGAAACCAATGGTTCTTTGCCAAGTCTTGTAATGGGTGAGATTGGTGCACCTGTAAAAGATCATATAATTTTATCTGTTCCTTCAACTCATGAGGGCACATAATCACAAGCATCGGCTGCTTTCTGGGCAGCCATTTTTCTGCAAAGGGGTTATTGTCCTGAGAGGGACCTTAAGACACCTTAATATCCAAGTTTCCCCTATACGCTCCCAGGAGATCACAGCTTACACTAAAATAAAAGTTTCACAGCAAGGTAGCACGGCACTCTCCAGGGGTCCTGTCCATGACACCAATAAGATGTCCCGATCCACTGTCAGGGGAGATTTTGATACGATCCCAAGAGCGAGATTAAGACACAAACGGGGCAAAAGCCATACAACTTTATAAGCTTTATTCTCATAATTGTGATGAGACAGAAAGAAGAAGGGATAAAGAAAGATGAGCAAGCAAGCAGGAAAGATGCGGCAAGATTAGTTACCACCACCACCAGTCCAGCTAGGTTTCATCGGCTCCACCTCGGTGCAGGTGATGATTTCTTGAAGGAGAGTTCAGGAAAAGAAGCCCCCGCAAGGGAGGAATATGCAGTCCTCTTATTGTCCCAGTTCTTGAAGAGTCTGCCCACTTTCCTTAAGTTTTTTGGCACGTTTTGTTCATGTCATATATGCCGTGTGCCCTGGAGCTCTTCTTCACCTGATTTGAGTACAAGTGTGGCTTAGTAAGCACTGCTGAGAATGTCATTGTTCGGGTCTCAAGCTAATATCACAGTCTTCCCAGGGACAGGATATCAAGGTTAAGCAGTGTAAACGGTGAGGCAACAACGTAGAGACAAACACAACCCAAAACAGTCTCTTAGAGACGCTAGGATGACAATAACATTTTTTTTAACAGATTTTTTATGGTTAGAAGATACCTGCTCTGGTACTTAAACCCTATAATGTAGATTTTATTAGATAAGCAAACATCTGCAAATGATCTTGCCTCCTACCAATCCTAAAAAGAAGACAGCAGTCATCCAAAGACAAAATTCCAAATAGCTCCTGTTTTCTTTCCAGAAATAAACATTACACATCAATGTCAATAGAAAAACAAAACAAAATAGGCTCTGTGAAAGCGTATTAAGGAGCAGGGTCTCAAGGCAGTGAGCCAGAAGACATTTATTAGAGTATCAGCTTACATACTTACAGCAAATCACCCGGATACAGTACCTTATCCCCTTTTAACAGCATGTATAGTTTGTCAATAATGGTTCCTTATTTCCTTCTATCTGAGTAAATAGAGTAAAATAGAAAGAATTCTATTATATATATATATATATAGAATATATATAGAATATATATAGAATATATATATATATATATATATAAATATTTTTTGTCTTCATTATAGCTACAACAGAAATATAAAATATCATTTGAAAACTGATAGAGCTTCTGAAAAAAGCATGGATTATAGGACTGCTGTGAATTTAGGTATAGAACCAACATAATCTCAGCCTGATTCAAATATTCTCCAAGTTTCGCAGGCTGTATGAGAAATGGTTGGGAAAGACGCACAGACTTTGTAGGTTTACACTGGATGTTTTAAGACCTACATCTGATATTTTTGAAAGAGTTGTCCTATGTGGTTCTGGTCAAGGCATTCATCAGCCCTGATATGTTCTTGGGTATACTCTTTTCCCCAGAGAAATAATAATTTAAGTAGTGATATCAATATCCTTTTTTAATAATGGAAAACTAAAAATGAGGATTTAAATTCTGGTTTCATGGGAGGCAAAGATAGCTTTGCTATTGACTTTGTATGTAATAAACATTTAATTTAGATATGTGGGCTGACTATGAGAAAGCAAGCAACAAAGACCATAAAGAAATGATACAGTTGCCCAAATGATGCCATGCTTTTCAGGAACCAGAAGAACAATCTGGATATTGTCAGCACAGTAAGTAAAATTTATTAATTCAAACTATACTTGCTCCCTAACAT